AAGATGAAACAATATTTGGCTGCAAGTGACCTTCCGATATATAAAAAAAAAAAATAAATAAATAATTCACAGCCAATAAATTTAGGTCTACTAAATGCTGTATCCGAAACGCATTGAAAATCGTGTTCATTAATCTTTTGCTCAAACAATTATGCATGAGACGCATTAATAAAATTTAACTGCAGCAGTGAAGCCACCAGTTATGTTGTTGCTATTGCTAGTATTTTTTTTTTTTTCTATTTTTAAAACCAGCACGTGGGTTGATTTTCGCGCCGGTTTTAGCTATTGAACTATAAAAAAAAACAAAGAGCTGAAAGTAAACAAAAGCAATAAAAACATAATTCACAAATTGCCTCTGGCTCAATTTATTTTTATGAGTGCCTAAAAGTGTGCAACTAATTAAATTTATAATAGAAACCAAAGCATTGTATTAAATGTTAGAGACGCACAAATACACATAAAGACGCTTAAGGGATATACAAATGATAATAAAGTTTGTGACTTAAGTCTTTTGTTTGCTGCATAGAGGCGAACGAGTAAATAATGACACGAATCGCTTGCAATATTTCATTGCACTTTTATGGCAAGGAACCCAGACAATGTTTCATTGATTTTTGGCGCGCCTTTGAGTATTTTTTCGACACCTTTTTTTTTGCAATATTTAACTCGTTCACGCTCTAAAAGGCACAAAGAACTTGTTTCGGATAGCCACTTGCCGATGCAATTAAATGCCACGACCCTTTTGTGCAGCGCGCACCTTAGCGCATAGTATAAAAAGCCTTAAAATTTTTGGTTCAACGCACAGTTTCTGGATATACAGCAACGAGTCCTGCGCTCAGCTCAAATAATCAAACCAAAAATCTATATACGTATAAAAATAAAAATTAAAATGTTTAAATATGTAAGTATGTCAATAAACTACGCAAGCAGCAGCGACTAAGCGAGTACTAGTTACTAAAAAAAAAAACAAAAAACTTTTTTTGTTTAAATAGCGTCGCATATTTAAATGAAAAAAGGCGAATTATTTTTTTATGGCATTTTTAATTGCCTCATTCATTCATTCATTCATTCGCTTGAAGCGCTAAAATATTATGAAATTGCTTCGTTAAACGTTGCATTACACCTCATTTGTGATTCATTTCTTTTCTTTTATTTTTTTGCGACTTTGTCGATTTCTCACTCTGCCAGTTCGTTTGTGTTGCTGCCCTCTTCTCGTTGACCTTCGTCTATGCGGACAACATCGATAAAAATGCCGAAATACGTAGCTTTCAAAATGCTGCATCCGATGCCGAGGGCAACTACCAGTTCTCCTATGAGACAAGCAATGGCATTCAACAACAGGAGGCCGGCAGTTTGGACGGTGGTGTGCGCGGCTCACTGAATTACGTATCGCCCGAAGGTGAACGCATCTCCTTGAGCTACACAGCGGATGAGGAAGGCTTCCACCCGGCAGGTGATCATCTGCCAACGCCACCACCAATACCAGCTTACGTGTTGCGTGCCTTAGAATATATCCGTGCACATCCACCACAACTAAAGGAAGAGCAATAAACAATGGCGGCGCCTACACACACACACACACACACACACACCAAGCTTTAAATGCAATCAAACTGAAGCCACGATTCACGAAACAATGCTCTATACGCGGAATGGGTCACCACCGGCCAACCTACTGACATGTCAAAGCTGAAGTGTTAATTGGCTCATTTCAATGAATTTTTCTTGTTATTACGTTTTGTTTTTGTTTTTTCATTACTTGTTTTCGACGCATAATTAGCTGTTAATCTGTGCATGCCTCATTTTGTTTTCGCGCGTACAGTTTGACGTATTGGCGCGCGCATAGTCATTATTTGTAATTAATAGTTTTTGTTTAATAAATGAAGTGATTAAATTGAAAATTTTTTACTTTTGTTTAGAAAATAACAAAAATCACTAATTTGTGTCTGTTTCAAGTTTTCCTATCAAGATATTCTATTGATACCTACCTACTTCTATCGATTGTCATTGCTTGTCAATTCATCGATATATCAATATTAGGGGGGTACTTGAATGTAGGAAGCTAATTTTTACATAAGATTTCCTAAGTCCCAACCCCTACGTCGATGCTACAATAGTTAAAGATATCACATATAAATTTTGGTCCCGATTGAGTTCGGTTAAGGCGTGGCGCATAGGGATCATAATTCAGATTACCCTATGAAGACGTCTTAACCGACTTCAATCGGGACCAAAATTTATAGTTGATATTTTTGATACTATCGATTTTGGGTATTAGAAGAAAAAAATAATAATTTTAATTTTTTTAGTCTCTATATGTGCGACAGGCCTTAACCGTCTCTAATCAGCACCAACATTTATATGTGACCGTGGTATTACCGATTGAGGGGGTGAGTCTGAAAAAAGTCGTTCATTTGATTTTTAAGGATCGCCCTAATCAATATCCATCAACGCTTACTTTATCAACAGTATTTCGATAAATATATCAGCGTAGCTAACGTATGTACGTTTATGTATGATATTGCCAATAATGAAATCACCAAATATTGATAAATACATATATAGGAGATATCGATATTGGAAAAAAATTTAGGAACCACAAAAAGTTATGTGTTTAAAATTTTACTGAAAGAGATATGCTGCTTGTATAAGTAATTCTTGGTTTGCGGACTAATTTTCTTCTTCTTATTTGGTGTTACAACCAGGGACCGCATTGGCAAATTTTTTGCGATTTTTTTATCTCTTTTAATCCAAAAAATTAAAGCTGAAAATAACAGTTATGGTATCATCGGAAAATTTAATCCAAAAATAACCATTAAATTTAATCGGAAATCCAATTTTAACGATTGAATTATGATTTCTATCATAACCGTTACGCCAATTCGCCAATTTCTCCTCTCCTTTGCGATGTTGCGCCAGTTGTTCGCCCCCAGGTGTATGCGGGTTGCGTGTATGCACTTGGTCCTTTTACCGTTTTATTAATTTTTGTTATTTATGAAAGAGAATATATCCCTGCACTTTTCAGTTTCCCACCGTTCCCAACGTACCTTCTTTTGGTAAGAGTTGTTTCCCGCTTGATGCTTCAGGCTAATATCATTTGATAAATATTTAGCCATCTCTAAATACTAAGGGTGTATTTTAAAGGTATTTTAAATACAAAAGTATTAAAGTATGTCCATCACTGCTTCTTAAGCGTCAAATTTGGCCACGTCAGAATCATCACATATGTATGTAGTAGATGGTTTAGCGATCTATGTAGCCTGAGTATTACAAATATTAAAATATAAAATTGTTTTAAATATTATGCTACCAATTCCCACCATTAATGCCGGTCGAATGAATCACTACTCACTTAAACAGCTGTTGGCCCTGCACATTGATGGCTCGCCGCTTTCCACACAAAGCCATTTACCTGCTCATCTTAGCGGATTCCCATGACAGTAAAAACCAGTAAACCAGTATCATATAAATACATTTGAATAAGAAAGGTGCCAACAGGTTTTTATTTGACATATTTTGGGTTTTGTTTGAAATTTTTTTTTGCGGCGCGATTGCAATATGTTTGTTAATGCGTTTGCTATAAATTTGTAAGTTTTGTGAGAGTTTTTTGTACAAATATCTTTACAATTTAAAAAATTAAATAAAAAATTATTACCTATAAACAATAAACTTTACAGTGTAACAATAAATATTTTTATACATTTGTGTACTATTATATTTTCTTCCTGGTGCACTGGCTAGCTAAGCGATTTTCATATTCGTGGTTTTTAAGTACATATGCAAGTATAAATGGGCAGGAAAATTGCATATCAAATTGATACCTTGTTTATTCCCATACACGATTCATACTGTTCATAGAAATAGCTAAACTACGTTTAAGGTTTTTTTTTTACTAAATAAAGATTTGTTAATTCATAACATCAAATTTGGACATAAACGGCTTTAAGCACACTTAAACGCCGCTAAGTGCTTTAAAGTCATATCATTTAAATTCAATCATCAATTAATTAAAATTTAATCAGATTTTAATCGAAAATGTGTTAAGCTGCATCGTTAACCACCAGCTACCTGATTGGCAGTAAAATTTCTTTAAGTTTTATGTGAAAATAATAAAGTACGTAAGTAATGGCAATTAATTCAATTTCACCATAAGCGCACATAAATAATCACACACACTTCTGGGTGATTTGAGCGTAGCGTTGGGTTGACTCCGATAAAAACGAGATTTTGACACTTTTGTGATGGCAAGCGAAAATAACTGAACTGAATGAAAACAAAAATAAAAATAAAACCACATTTTAGGGAGAAGCACGTTTTAGTTTTAATTTTGGAGCGCAACAGGTAACTGTGACATAGATACATATACATATGTATGTACATAAGTATGTGAGTTTATAGAAGCAATGACAAATTTATCGCTAATGAAATCAAATTAAACTAACTTGGCATTTAACTTTAGAATTAAAGGAAAATTTTAATATGATCACAAAATTCGCGCAAAGTAATTTATTTTAATCAAACGCACCAACTACATAATATGCACATAAGGGTGGGCCAAAATTTTTTTCCAGCCACCCCCAGCACGGGATAATATCGAAAATAAGGAGACCGGTATTTTTTATTTTGAAATTAGTTAACATTTAATAGTTCCAACAGAGCTTTGAAATTTCCCATGTAATTTATATGAAGAAAATAATTTTTTTTCGTAGAATTGCTATAAAATCGTTAAAAAAAATCATTTCTATCGAATAAGAATATTTTCTTTCAAAAATCTTAAAAATAATAAAACGAACAAGTCCATTTAGTCGTTCGTAAGCGATGCGGTCACGAACACATAAAATAACTAATTTTGTATACACTTAATAGTTACGTATTGAAATTTTAAAGTGAAATATTAATAGCTAAAGTGAGATATTCCTATTCCTTCTATTTATTATTCATTTTGCAAAATAAGATATAATTGGGGAGGTTATAAACCTTTCTATCAAAATATCTGCTTTACCTTCATATTCCGTTGTTAAAATTTTGTATACAAAGTATTTTTTGAAATAAGCGCAGCATTTTTTAGTCAAACCATACCCATAAATTTCTATTTGAATTTAAACATATTTCCGAGAAGGAGCCTTAAAGTGTTTAGAAGTTAAACATTTTTGGAAGTTACTCCAAAAATGAGAAACACAAAAGGTTAACTTTCACATCTCATTGTGAGTTAAATTTTAATTAGTAGCCTTTATTGCACAATTTATCCCCCCTGTAACAAAAGACTTTAGAAACGAACTTTTAGTAAAATGTTCACTTACTGTACATATCGACGCTTCCAAACCATACACTGAGAGAAAAATCAACCAAATATTGGTTAATATTACCAAATTCAAACTTGAAAAGGAATCAACGGGACTTTTGTTTATTATTAACAATGCCTTGGTTCATATATTTTCAACAATGATTTGGTAATATTAACCACAATTTTGTTTACATCAACCAAACTTTTGGTTGTCGATTTATTCGTTTGAATACGTTCATGTTCTGCACTTCACAGATGCTTTTTCATACAAAGAGGAGATACAAAACAACAATTTTTATTAACATGTTGCCTCTGGCGGGACTAGTAGCGAGCATCTCTACACACTCAGCCACAGCAGCTTTATAAATTTTCTTCGTCGTTTGATTTGGTTCTGCACTTTACAGAGGCTTTTTTATAATTCAGGAAAATCAAAAACAAAAAAAATAAAAAAATTATGTATCGCGCTTACAGCATTCGTTCAGCCACTGCCATACATACGAATTTGTTCTCAAATGTTCAGCTTGAATCACATTTCTTACAATCGACTTATTGACCATGAAAAAATCAAACCATAACTTGGTTGAAAAAACCATTGTGCTTTTGGCTCAGTGTACTATGCTAAATAAGTCTGCCTACCTACGTCTGTAATGACTTAGCATCGTACGGTTTGGAGGTGTCGATATATACATACATATATGTACTGCAAATTTAATGTCGATAATATTTCAAAAGTTGGCTTGATCTACAATGGCCAATTCTCTTTCGCACACTTCTTTAAAATGCACATGGTAGGTGATAATTTATATA